CTCCAATTATTGGCTCCCCCTCCCCCATCGCTGCCCTCAGCCCAACAGCTGATGACTCCGCGACGCCTGCTGCTGCTCCTGGGTGCCTGCCTCCCTCAAAAAACAAAATCAAGCACCGAGTCGAGGTTTCCCCAACCGGGCTGCAAAGCAAACGACCCGTTGTGCAACGAAAAGCGTACGGAAGAAACTCCTCCACCTGCCCTCCTGCCCCCCACCGGCCCACATGCCTCAACCCTCAAAGAAGGAAAAAAGAACAACCCCTCGGTGATCCGGGAGCGCCACGCGAAGTGGGAGGTACCGGCAACCGCCTGGCAGAGTCAGCAGCAGCAGGTAGGCGGGGGTGAGGTGTCCCGGGCGAGGCGGCTGTCTGGGAAGCCGCGTCCTTGTCTGTCCATGTCCACCCCAAGAGGGAGGGAGGGAGGGGAGTTCAAGGGTGCTCACTGGTGGCCAGTCGCCGAGGGAGGCAGAGAGAGAGTGAGAGAGAGCGCCCCGGTACGCCCACAAGACCTAAGGGCTTGTCCGCGGTGCAAGGGCTGTCCCTGCTGTTGGTGGCAGCGCTCTCCTCCCCCCTCGGTCGCAGCCAGGGCTTCCTTAGTCCCACCAATTAAATCGAAGTTAATTTAATTAACTTTGATTTGATTGGCTGATGGCCCCCCCACAGGCCCCCTCCCCAAAAACTCCTTAGCTATGGAGCTGCCTTGGGTCAGTCCCCTAGCATCTTCAATTACAGCTTTTTTCATTAAAGGAGCAGGCCTCTTCCCATTTCTGTCCCAACAAGTTGCCCTTCCACCAGGGAAAAGGGCATACAGAGGTACTGAAAGAAACCAAGGGTCTACCAAGTTTTCACTCCTTTTCAAACAGTGCCAAGACAGATGCTACTGAGAAGCAGGGCATGCCGGCATGGTTGCCAGCCCCGGGTTGGAAAACACCTGGAGGGTTTGGGGGTGGAGCCTGAGGGAGTGGGGAGGGACTTCAGTGGGGTGTAATGCATAGAGTCCACCTTCCAAAGTGGCCATTTTCTCCAGATGAATGGATCTCCATCGCCTGGTGATCATTTCCAATCCCAGGAGATCTGCAGCCTCCACCTGGGGGCTGTCAACCCTACTCCAGGCCCCAGCCCTCACCTATTGTTTGCTGCCCTTCCCCCGCTGCCCCCCCCCCACTCACAACTACTTTTTTGGGGGGTATTTTGTGTGTGTGTGTGTATGTTTAGGAGCTGCGGTGGCTCAAGTGGTTAAGACGCTGAACTGCAGGCTGCGGAAGGTCGTTAGTTCAGCAGTTCGAGACCCGAGTGCGCCGCACGACGGAGTGAGCTCCCGTCTCTAGTTCCAGCTCCTGCCAACCTCGCCGTTCGAAAGCAAGAAATTGCAAGTAGATAAATAGGTACCGCTTCGGTGGGGAAGGTAACAGCGTTCCGTGCGCCTTGGTGTTTAGTCATGCCGGCCACATGACCACGGAAACGTCTTTGGACAGCGCCGGCTCTTAGGCTTTGAAACGGAGATGAGCACCGTAACCCTAGAGTCGGACTCGACTGGCTTTCAAGCAAGGGAGCCTTTACCTTTACCTATGTATATGTTTGTGTGCCTGGAAGTCATGGTGACTTCTGGCGACCCCTAGTGGGGCTAGGGTGTTTCAGAGAGGTGGCTTGATGTTAACCCGCCTCTTGTGTCCCGGCCCTGGTATTCCTTGGAGGTTTCCCTTCCAAGTACTTGCCAGGATCGGCCCTACTTAGCTTCCGAGATCTGACAAGATTGGGCTTGCCTGGGCTATCCTGGTCAGGGCTCCCCGGAGGATCTCCATTCCTACTTGTTATCTGACAAAGGGAGGTTCGACCCTCGAAAGCTCATACCCTGCCCCCTAAATCTTGTTGGTCCCTAAGGTGCTATGGAACACAGGGCATTCAGAGAAGGGGCTGGATAGCCTGCCTCTGGCCCCGGTATTCCAAGGAGGTCTCCCTTCCAATTACTCGCCAGGGTCGGCCCCGCTTAGCTTCTGAGATCTGACGAGATCGGGCTTGCCTGGGCTATCCAGGTCGGGGCCCCCACTCACGACGACAGTTCAGGAACGTCATTCAGTTATCATGGCTACTAGGCACTAAGGTATCCACCATAAAATGGTTTATTTCTTAATTTAATACATGTCTTTTGTACATATCCAAAACTTAAATCAATTCTGGCAAAAAATTAAATCAAATTTAAAAAATGAAATGTCGTGCAGCGCTATGCCACCCAGATCCTAAGCTAATTCTACTAGGATATTTAAAAAAATGGCACCAAGCTCTCCTCAATTCTGTTTGCAGTTGCTAAAGTGGTTAAAAAAAGCAGAACCTCGTTATAAAAGGATGGTTTAACCATGCCTGGAATCTAACTTTACTAATGAACACGCTAAAAAAATAATTTTTAAAAAGCGACTAATTCACAGTGTAGAAATAAGTTTTGTGAAGGCTGGGCAATTTTTATTAGGTACTGGAATGTAAAAGTTATGGATGACATATCCTTTTGCTTTTTATGAGTCATTGGGAACACCTTTCCTCTCTTGCTTTTTCTTTTCTTTCCCTCTCCTTTCTGTGCATCGAGTTATTATGTACTGTAATCTATGTAACAATTACAAAAAAATAATTACAATAAAAAACTGACACTGCAAAAGAAGAAGAAAAGAAGACAAAGGAAAAGAAAAAAACAAGAAAAACTGTATAACTGTATAACAAAGATGTACTGTACTGGGGGTTTTTTTATTCAGCCCCAATCTATTACTAAGCTCTTTCACTAGGTTAGTCAAATCAAAGTATTATGAAAAAAGGGACAAAAGTGTCTCCCAATCCACTTAAAATATTGCTTTCTGTGGCCAATGAAGGCTTCTAAATAAAGATCAATTACTTTCCTTTGTGCTCAGAACATTTCAGCCTGTTCAGATGCAACTTTGCTGCCATCCTTCCCCCTTCCCCCTCGGATGGCGCAGTTCTGACACAGCGTGGTGGACACAGCCACAAAATAAAATGGCTGCCACAACTTGCCTTCTGTCACACAGTGAAGATCCCTGTTAAATACTGGGTTCTGGACGCATTGCAGTGAATCAGCTCTAGTTTATTAAGTGATTTCAGGCATACTAAAAGACCAGCAGCAAGGTTTGAGCCCTGCTTATAAAGCATGCAGCCACCATACCCCACACACACCCCACTCCCAAGGATAGGCAATTTACATTACACTACTTATCTATTGGTCTACTCCAGGATCCTGGTGAGCTATTGTTCTAGAGTAACAAGCTTGACCAGTTCCAGGTACACCTAGAGGGATGACTTAGACTCAATACATAACAACCCTTGCGCTGAGGTGACTGCTATTTGAGGACACTCCAGCTCTGACTAAGATAGTCACATAGGTATTTTCTGGACTAGAACTCGAAGATGTTCTAATTCAACAGCTGTGCATTTGGCACCAGGCAACAGAACTCTCATCTTAAGAGGCTTCATAAACATCCTTGTCTTGTGTCTATTAAATTTGCTGCTGAACTTTCCTTTTTCGGTCCAGTATCAACTTATTATTGGTTATTTCATTGTAATGTGTAACATCGTAACATGTGTCTGTCTGTACCTTGGAGTAGACAATATCGACACTGATGGACGGATGGCCTAATTTCAGTGTAACGCAGATTCGTGTGTGTGTTCATGTGAATGGAATGTAAAAATAAAAGCAATTGTAAGTGGACACAGACACATCTGTAGAAAGTTTCCCAATCGCTTGTACTCCTGGGATGCCACACTTAATGAGAATATTATTTAAGAAAACCGTTTCTTAATACATTTTAAAAAAAATTAAAATTGGCTAATTAAAAAAATTTATTGTATACATGGGTAAAAAAACTGGTACTAAAACCACACACCTCAAACTCGTTTTGGTAAAGTTTGACAGAATGCAAAGGTTCCATGAAAACCAAGCTTTCTCTACATGTCTGTTCAGAAACAAATCTCTGATAGAAGCAAGATCCAGTGTGCTGCATTGGCTAAAGTGTTGGATTAGGATCTGGGAAGGGAACCCAGCCTTGAATCCCCACTCATGCCATGGAAGCTGGCCGGGTGACCTTGGGCCAGTCATACATTCTCAGCCTAACCTACCTCACAGGGCTGTTGTGAGGATAAAAGCATGAGAGGAGAACAACGTAAGCTGTTTTGGGTCCCCACTGGAGAAAAAAGCAGGATAATAAATAAATAAGATCCAAAAATCAACCCATTTTAGCATTCACGGCACTTCAGAATATTGCAACACTTGTAATTTTAAGGAGCTACACATATTTTAAGGGGAGATATCTCAGATTTTACAGAAATCTGGTTCCCAGTCTTGACATATTTTGCCTCATGTGAAATCATTCCTAATAAGGCTGAATATCAAAAAATGCTAACTTTTTGACATAACAATAATGTTTTAGTACTTGGCAGGTTATATCCTTGTTGTTGACTTTTATGCCCCTATGCTGAGGTTATTAGATTACTACCAACCAATATATTCAGATTCGGCTATTATCCCCAGTTTAATTTTCTTATCTATGTAATGTGTTATTTTGATTTTTTTTATCCTGCTGATGCAAATTTATTTTCTCTTTAAATCACTTGCAATGGTATAATATATATATATATGTATATGTATATATGTATATGTGTATATATATATATATATATATGTATATATATATATTAAAAAGTAGCTACACACCTAGAAACTGGGAAGAAAAATTAGAGAGGGAGGAATCATTTAAAATGGAAAGGAAATAATATTTTTATTTTTTTTAAAAAAACACCATTTAAAATCTTTCCAAAAAGGAGACAAGAAAAATACTGTTTTATTTCCCAAGGGGATTACGCCATTTTTTTTCCCTAACAAAAAATTATAACTGCCGCAAATTGCTCTCAACAATTCCAAAGCTTCTCCCATTGACCACTTGAAAAAAATAATCAAAGTTCTTTAAGATTATAAATACAGCTTTCGTATAACTCTGTTATTACGTACCGTGAACGGGGAAAGGGGGCCAATCTTGTGGCCGTAGCGCCGAATGGCCTCTCTGATGTGGGCTGGCTGGATGGCATCGCTGTGAGCCTCGGCACCACAAGCGGCAGCGCTCTGCAGCGGGAGAAACACAGACACCGGGGGCTAAATGAGAAACACACAACAAGCAGACAGTGCGCTCACGATGGAAAGCGAGGGACTGTTTTTTGTTTCCCAAGAGGACACAACTGTTGCCATGTTCTTCTTCTTCTTTTTTTAATACAGAGCTATTAACTGAAGGGGATTTTTACATGACCTCCTCTCGATGGATCGGGAGAGTGACACGTTTGCCCTTATTGGTGTACTGAACATCTTTGCTGCAGAAGAGGAAACGCCCAGATTCAAATGGACGAATTCTTAAGCATCAGAGGACTGGTGGTGGTGGAGTATGCTGCTAAAAGTACAGAACTCTCTTCTTGCTCAGCTTCTAGCATGCTGCCAGGCTGGGGCAAGGATGCCACATGGCACGTGAAATTCACTGCCAGGAGATGTGGAGCGATGGCCAAAGGCACAGACAGCTTTATAAAGGGGATTAGGCAGATTCTTGGAAGATAGGTCCTATCAGTGGCTACTACCCCTGGTGACTAAAGGGAACCTTCCTGTTCAGAGGCAGTCAGCCTCCGAATCCCAGTGCCAGAAGGCAACATCAGGGGGAAGGCCTTCTATGCTCTGTTGCTAACCCTCCAAAAGAACCGGTTGGCCACTGTGTGAGACAGGATGCTGGACTAGATGGACCACTGGTCTGATCCAGCAGGGCTCTTCTTATGTTCTTATGAAGGACTGATATCCCCACTTGTCTGCATATCATACAAAATCCAATCACACCTGCTATTGCCATTTGCCATCTGAAATCATCTTTATAAAGCTTATATCTTTATAAAGCTTATATCTCTGGTACCTGGCATTACATCTTATGGCACACATTTATGTCAGATCTGGCCCTTGTAACAAATGAGTTTGACACCTCTGATTTAGTTCTTCTTGATTGCTGATTTCACAACAAGAGGCATAGACAGAGAACATCACACAATAAAAGGAAAGGCTAAGGTTTGCTACCTGAGTTCCAATGCGATTTTATTGCAGCTGCCAAAAATTTAGCCTCAAACTTGTTTGTCTTTGTCTCTTAAAAAGGTAAAGGTTCCCTTGCTCGAAAGCCAGTCGAATCCGACTCTAGGGTTGCGGTGCTCATCTCCGTTTCAAAGCCGAAGAGCCAGCGCTGTCCGAAGACGTTTCCGTGGTCATGTGGCCGGCATGACTAAACACCAAGGCGCACGGAACGCTGTTACCTTCCCACTGAAGGTATTGAACTATTTATCTTCCTGCAATTTCTTGCTTTTGAACTTCTAGGTTGGCAGGAGCTGGAACTAGAGACGGGAGCTCACTCCGTCATGCGGCACCTGGGTCTCGAACTGCTGAACTACTGACCTTCCACAGCCTGCAGTTCAGCATCTTAACCAGTTGAGCCACCGCAGCTCCCTTTGTCTCTTAGTAACCAAGAAAATTTTGCTTCTAAAGATACATAGTCCAGCTTAAGCAAAGAAAAAATCAATTCAGCTCTCCAAACTGAAAATTCAGGGCAATCCAAAAAGAATATGATCTATAGAGTCAATTTGGTTGGTACCACAAATGCAGAGTATGGAATACCAGTAAACCTTCCTAACAGCACTGATGAAGGGCAAAGCATTCAAGTTCTGCCACTTTTCTCATAATAGAGACCGGGCCTTTCTTGGCTGACTCAGGGTACTCTATGGCTGTGGTCACACTGGCAGCTTGGTGCGATATCGTGCTGTCTCTAATTGTACCGGTTTAAAGTGTTGCAGGGCATATAATCCAGACAGCATATCCTGCAGCAGGTTACTCACGCAGACATCCCTTAGTCAAGCATCCACATGATTGCAGTGCCTCAGACACAGAGCGTGTTGCCCGAAAATTTTCCAAAATGTATGCATGTCATAAGTGCACATATGTGTGCATGCACATGTGCACATGTTCTCATGAGCATGCACACACACGCAAGCACGGGCAATTATTTTTTTAAAAAAACCCTCCCTAGCAGTGGGAACAGATCTGCAGGTTCAGACTGCCAGATCTGATCTGCACATGCTCCCTCACGTTCAGACATCCGGCCATGCGCAATGAATGTGCGGGGAACCAAAAACACCACTTGTGATGTGGTGCCTTTTTATCCTGGTTCCAAGTTGTCCTATGACAGGATAAGTATGCCGGGGGAATGCCTGACAGATGTGGCTGTGTGACTGTGCCCATTTGATCCAGAGGGGACGGGTGGTTGCGTCAGGTCAAACTGCTTGTGTGATCACAGCCTTTGTGATGTCACTGGTGCACTTTTCAGTGTGAGACAGAGCAAGTTAATGTCCCCCCCCCTCCTGATGCTCAGTCAGGGAGACCCGAGCAAGGTAATCTTCCCCCTCCTGATGTTCAGTCAGGGATCATCAGCTAATCGAGTTCTCAGTTTGCACTCTCTGTAGTCAGGTATGTTTGCTTGTGAGTGTGTTGGTGGTGGTGGAAAGTGCTGACAAGTCGCGGCCCCGTAGGGTTTTCTAAGCAAGAAACATTCAAACATGGTTTGCCATTGCCTGCCTATGCATAGCAACTTGGACTTGTGTGGCAGTCTCCCATCCAAATACTAATCAGGGCCGACAGTGCTTAGCTTCTGAGATCTGATGAGATCAGGCTAGCCTCGGCCATCCAGGTCACGGAGAAATGCGCTGAGGTGGTTTGCCACTGCCTGCCTCTGCACAGTGACCCTGGATGTCCTTGGTGGTCTCCCATTCAAATACTAACCAGGGTTGACCCTGCTTAGTGTCTGAGATGTGATGATATCAGGCTAGCCTGTGTCATCTGGTTCAGGGCTGCTTGCGAGTGTGCAGGGTAGAGGATGCGCTTGGTATATATCAAGCAGAATAAATACCCAAAAAATACCTTATTGGTATTTTCAGGTATTTATTCAGCCGAATACAAATCAGAGATCTGTATTCAGCTACCAAAATAACCATGCCCAAATAAAAGCCAATATTATTCAGCTTTTATTTGGGTGTGACTAGAAGGCATTTAAAGAGACCATGGCCTTCTGAGTTCACTCGCCGAGTCGCGCTGTAGCACCACTGCGAATCAGTGAGTGAACTCAGCAGGCATTTAAACTTTAAATCCCTTCTTGATTATACCCTATGGGGACAGTCCCCAAAGGGTATAATGCAGCCGAATAAATTTGGGTTTCCCAAATATTTATCTGAATCCCAATACAAAACCAATATTGGTATTCAGGAATATTCAGGAATAGCAATATTTTTTGGGTCCAAGAGACCTGAATCGGGGGGGGCAGAAGGTTGTTTTTTTTTTGGTCACCCCTAGTGCAGGGACTCAAAATTAGGTAAGTGTTAGTTTGATGTACTTGTCTGTGCTAAGCTCCCATATATTCCTCCCTCTCAAAAGCTGGGAGAATGACATTTCAGAATATTCCTGGTACTTCCTCAGCAACGTTTTCTCCCACACGGACTGGTTAATTTTCTGTGATTTACGTAGCATTTCACTTTCGAGCAGTATTTTTTTTTTATTGGGTTGGGGAAAGTCTATTCTCTGATATGCTGTGTCTTTCAGGCAGCCACACAACCTAAGATCCCTGAGATAGAGTGAATCAGGAACTTATCAACGTTTTACTGTTGGGTTGCTGAATCAACTGTACTATCAAATATGTGGTATAATTTATTTTTGTCAGAGATTCTTATATATATTCCACTTTCCCGGAAGGAAAGGAAAGGTTCCTTCAGTTTCCCCATGTGGTTGAATAGTCAGGGTTTTAGTAATCCATGACTGGTGAACTTGAGAAGGGAAGGCGGTAGAATTTCATGGCTACAGTCTTCATCCAACAACCCATTGTCCTTCGTTATTTTCTTCTATGGTTTTTAGGCTTTTAGTATTATTCATGTATCATGCAAGACACACAAATACTTCAAAATTTTAAGTTACATTTTGGTTTGCTGGAGAGCCCCCCTCCCCCCGAAGAACTGTACTCCGGTATAATTTTTGAGTACATCACTTGTACAAAGGGAGGGAGTGCAACTTGTGAGTGCTGAATCAGGGCCAAGAAGATCCATGTTCAAATTCCCATTTGGGCACAAAGCTTGCTGGATGTCCCTGAATGAACTGGACTCTCTCAGCCGCAACCACCTTGCAGAGCTGTTGTGATGAGGGAAGGCAGGATCATATAGGCTGTCCTGAGCACCCTGGAGGAAGGGCCAGAAAAAAATGTCATTGACAAATTTCCTACCGTTTCCTCCTCCCACTGCAGACCCCTCATCATAAGGACATAAGACGAGTTCTGCTGGATCACACCAGATCATACCACCTAGTCCAGCATCCTGTCTCACACAGTGGCCAACCAGTTCCTCTGGAGGGCCAACAACAGGGCACAGAGGCCAAGGCCTTCCCCTGATCTTGCCTCCTGGCACTGGTAGTCAGAGTTTTACTGCCTGTGAATGTGGAGGTTCCCTTCAGTCACCATGTCTAGTAACCAGGGATAGACCTATTTTCCGTGAATCTGTCTCATCCCCTTTTAAAGGTGTCTATGACTGTAGCCATTACTATATCCTCCGGCAGCGAATTCCACATTTTAATCACTCGCTGTTAATCATAGAATCACAGAGTTGGAAGGGGCCGTACAGACCATCTAGTCCAACCCCCTGCCCAATGCGGGACCAGCCTAAAGAAGTATTTCCTTTTGTCTGTCCTGAATCTACTCTCCATCAACATCACTGGATGCCCTCAAGTTTTACGATCTGGGGAGAGGGAGAAAAAGTTCATCAGCCTGCACACTGTTCACAGGAGTCCCTCATTACCCAAATCCACCCTTCCAGAAACTTAGTGGATTTCGATGAGAAAGATCTAAGAATCCACACTATTAAGATCCTCCATAAACATGAGGGTCTCGTTTAAAAAAGCAAAGAACTGAAACGCACAGATTGCTTGCTGAAGTGTGACGTATTTCCAACTCCTGAGAGAGCTGTGGCTCTTGAAAGGTTAGATCTCCAAAATCGTATTGCTCTTGAGGAGCTACTCGA